CTATCGACAATGAAATCTAAAAAACAAACAAAGCAAACAGGAACAGAGACAGATTCATGGACACAGAGAGTGTTTTTGATGGTTGTGAAATGGGAGGGTTATGGGGGAATGGATGAAGGGGTGGGGGTATTAAGAATACAGTTAGGTAGTTATAGAACAGCAATGGGGATATAAAGTACAATATAGAAAACTGAGCAGCCAAAGAACTTACATGAGTGACTCATAGACATGAACAATGGGGGGTGGGGGAATTATCTAAGGGAGTGGGGGGTGCTGGGTAGAGGGGGCATGGGAGAAGTCAGGAAAACTGTAATAGCATAATCAACAAGATATTAAAAATAGAAATGAAAATAAAATCTTTTCAAAAAGTTATAAACAAATTACTGCCACACAATGTAGTAAGTGCTATGTTAGAGTATGAGGTGTGTCCAGAAAGTATCCATCCATGTACTATGAAAGAGACATTTATTGAAGATGATACACGAAACATTGTACATAGGACAATGACACCTCAATCCCCTTCAAAGTAGTCACACCATGACTTCATAAACTTCTTCCAGGGTCTCTTCCACTGTTCAAAACACTGCAAAATCCTTTGTTGGAATAGCCATAGCTATCCCATCATATTTTCCTGAATCTCATCAATGGTCTGAAATTTCTTACCTCTCAAAGGTGTTTTTAATTTTGGGAAAAGGCAGAAGTCATAGGGTGTCAAATCTGGGCTGCAGGTGGACTGAGTCACCTGGGTGATTTCATGTTTCACAAAAAAACTCTGCAAGAGACATGCACATTGTTGTGATGAAGCTGCCAATCACCAGTTGCCCATAGCTGCAGCTCTTTCATCACATTGCATCTCCCTACTGATGAGGAACTTTGAGGTAGTACTCCTTATTAATGTTTGGCCCAGAGAGGCATACTTATGATGGACAACACCTTCCTAAAAAAAACACAGTTAACATAGTCTTGATTTTGCTGTGACTTTGATGTGCCTTCTTTGGATGTGAAAAACCAGGTGACTTCCATCAGGACAACTGGGCATTCATTTCTGGATCATAGCTGCAGACCCACAATTCATCTCTAGTTTTGACTTTTTTGAGGAAATTTGGTTCATTGGTAGAAGTCTGCATCAAGTCATTAGCTACTGCAGCACGATGTTCCTAATGCTCTGGTAGCTCAAGTTGCAGAGCAAATTTTGCCACGACACATTTTATGCCAAGATCCTGTGTCAATATCTTGGACACTGTAGATTTTGGAATCCTCAGATCAGCTTATAGTTCTCACAGTCATTCACCAATCTTTGTTGATTGTAGCCCATACATGTTCAACGTTCTCAGGTGTTCTACCTGTTGCAGACCTTCCTGAACATGGATGGATCACTTTCAACAGATTCTTGACCATCATTGAAGCATTTGTGCCACATTTTTATTTACACTGCAATCATTGCATTGTTGCTGAAAGCCTTCTGAATCACCTGAATAGATTTGCAAAGAAATGTTCAAGCTTGACACAAAATCTGATGGAGGTTTATAGCTCTATTCACTCAGTCATTTTGAATGCAACAGCCACACTGTACACATGCTCACTGAATGGCATCTACCATTCGCACTGACTAGTGTAGTGAGGTTGTCAATTTTCACGCATGCACATTCCACCCCGCTCTTCTTGACTGTCAGGTTACATCGATGTTGCTCAAACCATTTTTGTTACATTAACAATGACTGGACTTTTTCCAGAAGACCTCATAGGTAGATCTGTCAAGACTCTGGTGCCGACCTTTCCAGACACTGCTGTGACTGAGCCTGGGCAAACATGTTTGGAGCTATGAGCAATCCACAGCACATGGCTACCTCTGCTAGGCCTGTTTGTGCGCAGAAAGAACTAGGCTGTGCACCAAGGCCAGCTTTACCAGCACCAGACCTGGGTGAGGGTCAGCTAAAGTCTCAGAGCTCCCAGAGATCTGCATTAGGTTTTAAACTTAATGAGCAATATAGCCTCAAGCTGTGCTCAGCATCCCCACTTAGGCTCCATAGGGTGGGGTAAAGTAATCACTGCAGGTGGGTCTATTGCTTCTCCTCAGCCTGAGGCCACTTAGAGGGGAATGCTCTGCCTGAGGAAGATAGACTCTGCACTTTCAGGAATGATTCAACAAAGGGATCCTGGTGACTATTCCTAGGTTTCTCCCCAGGGCCACCAGCCCCAGACTCTCCCCATACATCTCTAGTCCACCGTGCCCTTATTCTTGTGGAGCCCAGGGTAAGTGGCTGCAAATGAAATCTTTGGCATTGGCCCTATAAGAGTCTCTCTGTGTCTCCAGCTGTCTCTCCTTAGCATATAAAAACCCTAGTTTTTCACAGCTGGATGTTATCTGGGTTCCTTTTATGGCTCTGGTGCTAGAGTTTATGGAGACCAACTTAGGGTTTATACCCCACACATATCAGAGGGACCCCCTGGCCACCAAAATATCCCTCTGGAATTTCAGCAACCACCCATGAGAGCTCAGACAGCCCTCTTGTGCCTCCTCTGCACTCCTTACCAGTCTTGTTGTGGTGAAGTGGTTTCCTCTGTCTATCCATGGTTATGACACTTCTCTCCAGCTAGTGTTCAGTTGGTTATTAAGGATGATTTCTCTACAATGTGGTGATAATTCCCTATTGGTCCTGGGTGAAGATTAGTATAGTTTCCACTTACTCCTCCGCTATCTTGGGTCTCTATATTTAATTTTAAAATTTATATCTCATTGGGCCCTGGCTGGCATAGCTCAGTGCATTGGGCAAGGGCTGTGAACCAAAGTGTTGCAGGTTCGATTCCCAGCCAGGGTACATGCTTGGGTTGCAGGCCATAACCCCCAGCAACCGCACATTGATGTTTCTCTCTGTCTCTGTGTCTCTGGTCTCCCTCCCTTCCCTCTCTAAAAGTGAATAAATAAAAAATCTTTAAAAAAATTATATCTCATTGGTTTTGTTTGAACTCTATTCTCTTCATTGTTCTGTGTTGGCATAAAAAACTTGTACCATAAAAATTCACTTAATTTCTATAACTTTGTTATGTATGTAGTAGGTAAAGTATACTTCCACTCTTCTTTTTTAGATATTTTCTTGTCATTCTCCTATTTTCTTGTATTTTCTTAGATGGAGCACACAAAGTTGATGGTGAAATCAAGACATTGATGTTATATATTTAGGCTAGAAAAGTTTATGAGATATCAAAAATGTCAGGAAGGTAATTAGGTAGGAGTCTGAAACTAAGAGAATATAAATTGTATTACCTGGACTATTTAAGGTAGCCTTCTAAAAGGTTGTCCCTGCTTCCATATTCATTCTTCCAAGTGTGACTAGGTAATCTTTGTAAAAGCACAGCCTGATTAAACTCCAAGAAAAGTTCCTAATTTCTTTCAGAATAAAGTCCAAACTCTTTTAGCATGACAAATGAGAACATCACTGACAGGGCCTGTTATTGCATCTTTACCACTTGTCCCCAGCATCTTATTTTTTCAGCTATACTAAATTGCTTAGGATTTTCTGAAACACTTTCCTTTGCAAAAGTGGCTTTTTTCTTCCTAGAATATTTTTATCTTGATTCTCCGTCTGCAAATTCCACTCTTCCTTTAGTTTCAATTTAAGAATTACATTAAATATTTATACAAGTTCTACTATGTACTGTTTTTTCTCCTAAATGAAGCCTTTTATGATTGCTTGCTATGTTACACAGAGTAAATACTCCCACTTATGTATGGTGTGTGTGTGTGTGTGTATATATATATATATATATATATATATATGAGTATATACTGCCTCCACAAGACACCTCAGATTGAAAGAGACACACAAACTGAAAGTAAAAGGGTAGAAAAGATATTTCATGCAAATGGAAAGGAAAAAAAGGTGGTGTAACAATACTTATATCTGACAAAATAGACTTTAAAACAAAGGGTACAGGAGGAGACAAAGATAAGTATAGGATACTACAAAATGATAAGAGGAACAATCCATCAAGAGAATATAACCCTAGTAAACATTTCACACCCAACATTGGAGCAACTAAACATGTAAACCAAATCTTGAAACACATAAAGGGACATATTGACAAAACTGCAGTCATAGGCAGGGATTTTCTTTGGTCTCTGTCTTCCTCAGCAGTTTTGGACAAGGACAGGATCCTGTCTTTTTGGCAATACCCTACCCACAAAGTCTGGTGTAATGCCTAACACAATATAAATGCTAAACAAGTATTTAAAAGATTATTTATAAAAGTCTCAGTGAGACCATGGGGAGAAGTGAGTTAGAATTTATCTAAGAAAGTCTCAGTCAAAATGATACAGAAGTGAGTTTAAGAATGAAAACCATTATTCTTGGGAGGAAAAGGCCTTTCTAATAACTCCTTCTGCACCTCTTTCATTCAATGAGTTTCTCAAGGTACTTCAAAGGGAATGTAAAACATCAAAAATACACTCAAATTTTGTATTCTAAATGGGGCATAAATCAGGGTCTAATGTAGTCAACTTAGGCTATGGGCTTCCAAGTATTTAAATATCTTTATTCATCGGTGCATTACAGTTGGCACCTGGAGCCACTTGTTCGGTGTATGCTTCACTCAAAACAAAAGTAAACTAACCATTTTTGAGTATTTCTCCTCAGCCCTTCAATAGCTTTTCTCCTTCTAACCAGCCTTCAGAAGTTTGTAAAAGTGGGCGGGGTTAGCTCAGAACTTCAGAGCGCATCTTTTCAAAATGACTACATGAAGCCATGTGAACGACAGCGATTAAAGGCTTTAGAGGCACCCACAAAAATATATATATATGTGAAAACTAATAGTGAGCAAGTCAAAAGAATAAGAAAAGTGGGATTGAAGGCTGGGTGGAGAACAGCTTTATGGACATGGGAACTACCCCGCTTCCCATTTCACCGACTCTTTCTTAAGATGCAATTAAATTCCGTACAATTTCCTATCTCTCATGCAAGAAAGTACGACTTGCCCGCCAACCACCTCCCAGATGGCCACACCTGGTGTATTCCTTGAAGGATCTCCAACTCCCGCCACTGGTTTGGCCTGCGTCCGGCCCAAAACGGAAGTGACTTCAAAGGGACGAACTGCAAGTACGAGAGTTCAAACACCAGGTACCTACAACCCCTACGGTGTTCTGAGAAAACTCTGCTGCACTACTTCGCTCTTCTAGTCTTCATTTCTTCCGTAACAGCGGATAAAAGAATTCAGCCCAGCCTCGAGACAACTAGATCTCCTCTCCAAACTCCAAATTATTCAAGTTTGTCCCTTCTCATTGGAGGAGGCGGCAAGTGTTCCTTCCTAAAACTACAATTCCCGTCAGGCCGCCACGGGAAGTAAACGAAGAAGAGGAGGATGTGGACTGGGACAAAGCGTATTGGGAAAGGTAGTCTGTTCCAGGCCGAAAAGGGTTGTCACCACGCCTTCCCCGAATTGGGTTGGAGAAACCAGGTGTTCGGCTTACAATCCGTTACCCCAGATAGGAGGAGTCAAGCTTTTAGGCAGCATCCCTCGCTTCTCCCCACATATAGTATGAGAATTTTTCTCTACTCATATAAAACATTATTAATACTCCTTGAAAAAAAAAAATGGTTGTCTTTCCACTAACTCCAGGTTAGTGAGAACTCCCAGAACTCCCTCACCTCAGGATCCAACTCGTGGGAAAAGGTGGCTTTTTTTTTCAAGTGGGCAAAATGGCTGTCCTCTCCGTTTTACCATTGGATCCCCTATGCGTCCTTCAAGGGCGGATACTAACCACCGATTGGTTCTTTTCCCCTTGAGGGTGGAGGAAGACTTGGCAAGGCTCTCCCGCGACCCAGGAGGAGATAAAGGGGTGGGGAAAAGTCCGTTTGTCTAGGTGTGATTGGATGATCCTCATATCACTCCGAGGATGTACAGCCTATGATTTGTCAACTGTCCTCAACCAGAACGAATAGGCGGGGCTAGTGTGTGGTGGGAAGGGGCGGGATTCTGCCAGCCGCGGCTGCCGCTGGAGCCGGTGTCTGGGCTGGTGATGGGGTTAATTCCCTTTCGTAAGACTTTAACTTGCACCCACCCAGCCCCGCAGTCACCCCGCCGCGCCGCGCTCCAACCGCCTCCTCCTCTTCCTCAGTAACGCGGGTAAGAGATGCCCTTCTCTCTCTCCTCCAGCACCCGGGAATAACGCGCCTCGCTCCCCTCCCCCGCTGGCCAACCGGTAGCGCTAACGGAGAAGGAGGTAGGCAGCGGAGAGATGTGGTGTGTGAGAAGGTGGCCTCCCCGCCGAGCCGTTGGCGTTCCAGCCAGGGCCCCACCGAAGTGCTTCTGCTGCTGCTGTTGCCATCCCACCAGGAGGTTGGGTTCGGAAGGAGCCGGACTCTCCTGGCCCGCCGCTGTGGGTGCAGCTGCGTTTACTACCTTTTCCCCACCGCCCCCACCCGGGGACCATGTGAAAAGCAAACCCCTCGAGGCCTAACAGAGGAGGCAGGGGAAAGGTTCCCTAGTCCCTGCCATGGCTGCTGCTGCTGTCCTTGCAGCTCCAGGGACTCGGTAACCAGCCACAGCTGGCCTGCCAGGAACGGGTGCTGTGCCTTGTTCTGCTCTCTCCGGTGGCTGGCGCCGCGGCCCCGGGCTCCCCGACCCACCCTACGGCCACGGCCCCCAGCTTTGCACCGCTAGAATTTTTAGAAGGGGAATAAGGCATTTCGACCCGTTGGTGAAATGTGGGTGCATTTTGCCTGTGGTACCAGAAAAAAGCACAATGAGAAAATTAAAAAGAAAGTTGAATGACTGTCAATGCCATGGACTCCAGGGAACAGATCTACACACATCAAGGTTGAGCTTTAGGCTGCCCCAGATCCCCGTGTTTGAAGTTTATTGTCGTGTTCTCTCTCCTGTCTGTCTGCTGTCTGTCTCTCCCCACTCCCCCTCCCTCTCTCTCCACCGCTTATCCTCTTTTTTGTTTGTTGCTAGGTGCGGAGGAGAGTGCCACTGTTCTTTCATCTTGCTTTTTTATATAGAAACTTGGATTGTTGTGGCTATCATGTCCCATGTATAATTGTCCTGAGATAGAAAGTCAGCTAGGTACAAGGTAAAGATGTGCTTTGTAAAAGGGTAAGGCTTACTAGTAATTGGCAGATGATTTTTCTAATAAAGAATGTGTATATATATTATATACATAATACCCGCAAGGTTATAGTTTGCCCAATTGTAATTCTGAAGAAACTCTTTGCCTTTACCTTAAATGTCATTGATTACAATAACTTTTAAGTAATGAAAAGATGGTTAAAGTTAAACTGGAAGTCCACGTATGTATAATACTTGAAACAGTAAAAGCTATGTAATATTTAGTATTGCAGAATACTAGTACAACTAGAATACTTGGACATACCTCAGTTTATAAAAATTTGGTATATTTGGCCATGTATAAGAGCAAAGCTTCTTCCTTACATATTGAGTGCTCATCTTTTCACTCCTTGCTTTTTTTGCCTGGATAAATACGTCCTTAAATAATAGATTCTGTAATTTGTAGTAGACGTGCCTGTAATCAGAGATAAAATTCTACACCTACTTCTAAGGCTTGCTGCCAGAATAAACCTAGGTTCTGAAGAAATACCTGAGTTTTGACTGAAGGTTGTACAGTTTCTTCAGGTCTGAGAAGATTATACCAGTTTAGTGATTTTCATATTGCATAATTAATATACCTAGATGCAAAGTTGGCATAGATCCATAGATTCAGGGTCTGGAAGAAATAGGGATGTGTTACAATTTTAGAAGTGGAATGCATAATCCTGAAAGGTAAGTTCCCTCAGTTCCCCACAAAGTACCCATAGCATCATTCAACCTAGCATTTTCTAGAACTTGTTGGTTAATTGATAAGTTATATAATTGATGGTTTCAGATCTCATGTGCTTCATGTACAGAAAAGGCTGATATGAATATAAGGGGCCTCTACATTCTCTTCCTAGCTGTGGGACTCTTCTGTGAGCCTCAGTTTAGTTTTCTTAATCTGTGTGTAAAGTGAGGATAATAATGCTTAATTCATGGAGTTGTGAAGCTTAGAGGTGAAGTAAGTAAAGCCCCTAACATTGTACCTAAGACATGTATGATTAAATATTAACTATTGCTATTTTCATGGGTATTAAGAGAATAAGTTTTTCTTCACATACAAGGTATTGCAACCCCACAACATATTCTGTCAATGGGGTGTACTATGGGGGTTTCATTTCTACAGTGACTTAAATTAAGTGCAGTTTGCAGCTAGCCATTTTCAAAGTTAAAGGTATGTGGGAAATTGATTATCCCCTATAGATGAGTTGCTTATTTTATAGAAGGGGTTTTTTTTGTTTTTGCATTAAAATGCAAGTGTTTGTGGATTATATTTCAAATAGATTATTTTAAATAAAATGTGTAGTAAATTATTGTAGTGGTAACTTATTGTAATATCTTTTCAATTTTATTTAGGTGAGAATGTGTTTCAAGATCTAGTTCATATACAGTAGTTGCTATCCATACTCATTGTGCTACCTGGCAACTGGGAGGCAATTGTTGAACTCTTAATACAGAGTCATTTGAATTCATTACAGCCATTGGTTGACTACAGTATTGTGGTTGTTTTAATTTTGATTACTTACAAAACATTTGAGTGTTTCTTTTCTGTGAAACAGCATGCCAGACGTACTGTACCTTTCTTCTCCCAGGCACTTTTGAAAATGGACTGGGTCTTCACACATAATAGTGTCCTTGGAGTTTGTATAGTTAGACAAATTTAAGATTAGCATGGAGGCAGTTTTCTCATGAAGTCTTCTGACAGTAATGTTTGGCCAGGGGTCAAGACAGGCTGAAACTTATGCTGAATAGTCAGCTGAGGTATACAATGTTATGGTGAGCTTCCCAATTTATTGAACCCAGTGCAACTGGATGCTTCTTTAAGAGTCTTACATGGCAGCAGCAGTAGAAAATTTTACAAAGTTGAAGTAAGCTTTTTCAGATATCATGCAGAAGATACACATTGTACCTTGCCAAGTAATAAATAAGAGATTTTCTTGTACTGGTTCTTTAGAGTAACTGATCATACCCATTTGAGTTCATGTTGTTTTAATTCCTCACAATAAAGAAGCACTGGGAGTTGATAACAATTTTATTTTTTCCACTCTTTTTAAAAGATTTTATTTATTTTTAAAGAGAGGGGAGGAGGGTGAAAGAGGAGGAAAGAAACATCAATGTGTGGTTGCCTCTCGCACACCCCATACTGGGGACCTGTCCAGTGGATTCAGTGTGGCTCAGTGGATTGAGTGCCAACCTGCTAACCAAAGGGTTGCTGGTTCGATTCCCAGGCAGGGTACATGCCTGGGTTGTGGGCCACGTCCCTAGGAGGGTACGCGTGAGAAGCTACCACATTGATGTTTCTCTTGTCTCTTCCGCTCTCTTTAAAAATAAATAAAAGTGCTAAAATCTGAATAAGGTTGTTGGCATCAATGTCAATCCTGGTTTTGATATTAAACTCTACTTAAATAATGTTTTGGGGGGACACTGGACAGAGTGCACACAATTTGCTGTATTGTTTTTTCAACTTGCTGTGAATCTATAATTATTTAAAACTGAAAAACTCAAGCTCAAAAAATACCCTTTATATGTGTGTATATACACACACATATATACACATATCACATATGTATGTTTATGTGTAGATACACACATAAATGTATATGATCACATCTATAAATATGTGTACATACATACATGTATGTATACTTTATATGTGTGTATGCACACATACACGTTCCTGTGTAGTATTGAAAAAAAGGTCTGTTTTTAGTATATTCTCTGCAAAATACAATTTATATTGTTCATTTGAGTTATTTTTACTAAGTCATATTCACATGTATCTGAGCATAGTGGAAATACCCCTGCATCAAACATGTCCAAGAGATAGTTTTTATTTTCATTTTATATGCCTTGTTTGCTCTAAATGCCAGTTCCTTTTTCATTCTTTTATTAGGTCTGGCGTCCCATTCATTTTCCAACCCCTTGTCATATAAAATAAAAATAAGAATCTGATACCAATCATCTATAATGTTCATTTTCTAGCTGCTATAAGGCTTGTATTTTTTGAGCAAGTTCTTGGGAAAGAAATTGGGCAGATAATTTAGCCTTTGCCTGAACTATTCTAGTGACAGAGACATCCCTAAGGAACTTGGTGTCTCTCTGTTAAGTTTCCTTGTTTCAGGGTCATCACGTTAACAGATAAACACACACATTTGATATAGGGAGGGAGGATATAGAGAAGAGGAGATCCAAC